CTCTCCCTTTTTGCAAAGTTGGAAGGAATTCTCCTCAAAGTAATATATCTAATTGAGGGAGCTAGATGCTTCGCATAAACCATACGCTCAATGCTGCAGAAGAGAAATTGCATGTAGAACTTGCCTGGAAAAAGGTTCTACTGTTTCGTAGACGAGGCTGCAAAGGATTCTGCTATTTTTGAATTTGCTGTTGTTAGGATTCAGGCATGGCAGTGACGGTCGCAGCCTACTGTTACCAACTTTAGAATGGTAACAGTAGGCTGTGACCATTCTGAAGTTGGTAAGAGCCGCTTCTGAAGCGCTTACTCAGCTCATAAATGCGTCAGCTGCAGAGCGGAAAACGATAATTGGTGGATCACTGTCGCTGATTTATGAAACAGCAAAACAGGGACTTATCGACAGATGGACAGGTGTCCCCACACTTCAGCGACTGACGGTCCATACAAAAAGGACTATACAGCATGAAAATTCTGACAAAGTGTCGTGGGACTGTGTAATTAGTCGTTGCTGGTTTCAATGTTGTCATAGCTATCGTCACTTGATACCGACATTCGTATGCTATCATTGCTTTCAGGTAGGTGAGTACAAAAAGCGTGTTCGTCAGCCTATGTATATTATGGAGCTCTTCCCGCCGCCCTGCCCTCGTGAGTACATTGAGGCACTTCAGTATATTGACGGATTGAAGTACTACGATGCCCCAAACTATCAGTACATTTATGGCGTGGGTTTTATACTACTTTCTAGGTATTTTCTCATCGCATTTTCAAACGTAGGGGAAGTTTTGTCTAACTCACAGCGAGGTACTGTCGAAGATTGTAGAGCACAAATGCACTCTCATTCAGATTATGCGAAGGGCTCTGCAGTCATCTAGAGCGCAAGAATTTCCATATGATTGGGAAATGGGTGGTCCGACGGCTTACTTACTTCAGTAGAACGCTTCTCATCATTTTGTAATAATGAAGTTTTTAAACATCTTTGAAAGTGTATCGTGTAATCTAGTGCACGGCGAGTACACACGTAATCGAACATACAGATGTATGTATACTGACTTCTGAGAACGGCCCTTGCTATATGAAAGAAGAACGGGTTAGCAGCGTACACTAACAGTTTCGGCGCCTGAGAGTGCGCGGATATGGGGCTGAGAGGCTGCAATATCCGGCTGCCGTCTTGGACTCCACTGCACTACCCTCAATGTGCAGAACTTGCTTTGAGACCGAGGTTTCGCAGCGAAACACGTACTCAACCGTAGAAACAACCACAAGTGTGGGGCAGCACAGTTTAAGGAAAGCGCGTTGGCTAGGGTGCAGGCGTGTAGCTTGCCAGTGCGCAGGGCGGGGACGAAAGATATGACTGGCTAGCCGAGAACTACGCAACCGACGTGCTGCCGTCCGAACTTCCTGAGGGAGGGCAAATCGGCAGGCTACTCCAAATGCAGGGCCAATCTCCAATGAGCAAGCCATAATTTACTTCGCGCATAGACAGGGCGCCCAGCAGTAATGGAGGTGGTTATACAGTTTTCGTTGTGGAGATTTTAAGCTCACCTCGATCTGGCTTGCAGTGGGCGGTATAGTCACATGCAAGTAGTTCGCTTAGAATAGAGTTGGCCTTGCGTGACTATCGTCCAAGGAGCATCATGTTCAACAATAGAAAATTTACATATAGTTGATATGTGCTGAACTGTGGAGCATCTGCTAAGAGTGCAGTGGTTAAGTGATAGATCGCTCGCCTGCCCATGCCCAGCGCGGCATGCGGTTGGTGACGATTCCTCGGTTGGCACGTGCAGTGGGGACTAGCATAAGCATGTTCTTCTTCCACTAATTAATGTCACATACAATATGAACATACGGCTGCTATAAAGCATTGCTCGAAAGATTGTACAACAAAGTCGGACAAAGAAAAACTGCAATTACTCGTCGTTATGTGAATCGTGTCATATAGTAGTCTTAACAGTAGTATACAAAAATTGTCGTAGATTGAACATCGGTAGCGGATCCACCGGCATGTAGTATTTCCTTAGCAAGCGAGGTTAAACTGATATCCGTGTATAGCCCAGACAGAAAAGGTAAGCGAAAGAAAGATCGCCCGCTTGCCTTGGGGCCCTGTTTTTTTTTGGTGGGGCCAAACAGCAACGTCGGTATGGTCCGCGAAAGCCGCACCATTTGTGTCAAATGAGCACATCAACAAAGCTGCACTGTCCTCCTCCTGCTCGGGTTCCAAAGCGAACGCTATTCCTGGATGGAGGCGCACGCTACTGTCCTTGGTCGAGCATGCGTAGCAGACGCGGCGCGCTACAGGGGATTGGGAATGGTGTGGCGAGTAGTGTGGGTCGAGAAGTAAGAAAGAAAAGAGAAAAGAGAAAGAGAAAAGAAAGAGAAAGAAAGAATGTAATGAAAGCAGTTTGTGTGGGCAGTGTTGCCTACACAGCAACGCAAAGGAGCTGAAGAGAATTGGAACGACAGCAACTCTAGGGTGCGCCATGCACCCGGCAATTGAATAGCTCGCGTGTGCGCACCTGTGGTGGAAACCATTTGTTAGCACTCCTCCACTGATACAGCCACCTTGGTTTACGAGTGTTTAACTATTCCTAGAAGGAATTTGCGGAAAAGGAGAGTGTGTAGCGAGTTGTCTTCACCATGAAGCTGCATTGAAATACTGCTCGGTATCAAGGCGATAGAGGTGCAAAGAAAGTGTGCTGCGATAACTCGCGCGATTGGAGAGAAGCCCTGAAGGAAGAAAAGAGTAATGTGGCTGTCTGAAGGGTAAAGCCAGGCACTGAGAGAGAAGCCGGAAGCCGAGACTTGAGCTGATCAGGCAGGAGAAGGAGAGAACGTTCAGAAAAGAATATGAACATCCAGGGACGAAACCAAGCTATCTGGCAACTCGGTGTTGCTGTGAAGTGGAGCCTCAATGCAAACCTGATCTGATGGTGCATGTGGTCTTCCTCAAGTAGAGCGACCTCTGGGCGAAGGCGGGTCTGACCCATGAAACACGGGAACACCCAGCCGCAGAGAGGCCGTATGGTTATCGCAATTTGAACGTACATAGTGCTGGTGCAGGTCCGCGAGGGACCAGGGTGCTGATGCTGGAGACCGATGGGCGGAGGGGAATACATCAACAAAGTGGCCGTATTTGTTGTGGATGAGGAAGCGAAAATCGTTGGTTATACGAGACGGCTACGCAGAGGACCCGAAGAGCCCCACTGAGCTTATTGGGTTCGAGTTGAGGTGGGCCCGCGAACGAAAAGGTGCCGTCTTTGGTGATAGATGGGCTGAACCCGACGGTTCCAGACGAGAAAAGCGAGATACAGCCTGCACCGTGACTGCGGTAGATGCCGGGTGGAGAAGGGGGTCAGCAGTAGCCTCGTTCAAAAGTTGTTACCTCTTGCGTTTTGGCCACCCTTTGCTAAAAGATACTGGGTTATCTAGATCGACGAACGACTGCAGGCGGCTCGTGAACTTCTCAAGAGCCTGTTCCTCCTGAGTGCTGGTTCAAAATGGCGGCCCGAACCAAGTTGAGCGCCCGATAAGCAACGATGTACAAGACTCAGGGTTCTTGGTGGCAATTTTTGACTGTGACGTAACTTGCTATGGGCTTGCTAAGAAAGCAGTAAGCTGATTGACGATTGTAGAGTGGATTCGTTTGAAGTCGTGGTCCAACTCTTCCACCTGCCTGCATGCGACTTCATCGAGATGCCCGATGAGGGAATCGGTTCGTTGATCGTCACAGAGAGAGAAACGGGACTCATACATATGGCCAAGCCGACGTAGCTGGGTGAAAACTGGACGCCGGTATCGGTGGTACCCGGGAAGACCAGCTTGGAGGCCTGTGCGTCGGGCTAGAGCTAGGGGGAGCAGGCTTCGGCTTGATGCTGCGAAAGGCAACATTATGCTGCGGCGGAACTAAACATTCGCACCGTCTTTGCTGCGAGCGTGACCCGATGCTATCGTATACAGTAGCAGCACCTTCCGCAGGAAGCGTACGGTAAATCACAGGTGGCAAAGATAATAAGCGTATGCTAAAGCTGAACTGCTAAAGCGACGAGAGAAGAAGAACGAAGAGGAATGAATGAAAAAGTTTGAAGAGAAAAGATGAAAAAAAGGAGAATTCGTGGCGCCATAGCGTCCTAAGTTACACTGCGTGGAGCTTTGGGGAAACGGATGCTGGCAATCCCACGTGACCAGTGTTCCCAACGTGTTCCGTACCCGAATAAGATCTAACTGATATTACAGTATGGGGCTACAGGTTGCTTGTGCAAACCCCAGTGGGTACACTTGGTGAGTAATCGCGAAGTCGAACTTCTTGCTGCTGTCTACTGACTGTGCCCGCAGATAGAATCCTTCCTCAGATCAACTATGCTTTGAAGGACTCACAATAAATGTGAAGTAGGCAAGGAAAAGCAGCAGTGTGTTAAACAGTTGACCAAATGATCCCCAATGGTAAGCCGAAGAAGTGAGGAGAAATAGAAGAGTGAACCGCGTGGATTTAGTTGAAAAAGGGCATTTGCAGCTAAACAAAGGTTGTATTAGAATGATTGACGGCGGAAGATGTGGAGAGTGCGGTTGGCGTTGAACGTCTGGTGAAATTGAATCGAAAAGCACACAAAGGGAAACAACTTCACAGAAGTCAAAATGTCAGAAGTGTGGTGGAAAAAAGATGCGAAAACGGGCGAAAAGATAGAAGATCTAGAGAAAAGTCAGAGAGAAAAGGTTCAGCAAGGTTGGGAAAGAGAGAGAGAAACTAGTTGTTGCTGAATCCGCAATAAAAATACGTTGTGGGTTGACGGATCTGTTAGAAAAACCAAACTGTAGAAGCGGCGGTAATGATGTACCGTTCCGGATCGGGAAAGAAAGGGAGTAAAGAAGAAGCCACCTAGAGAAGAATGCATTGGGTTCACGCTCCAGCGTAGCAACCCTGCTCATAGGTTGTGTCCCGATGACGCTCAAGCCAGCGGAAATAGCAAACCAAGAATGAAAAACGGATGGGTAGCTAGAGGCCAGAAGTGGTACTTAGAGAGAAAGAGAAGAGCAAGTTCGGTCGTGCCGAACTGACTTCACCTGGTAAGACGGACTCAATATGGTTCTTCGGAGAGTCATGCAAGTGTCCCGAAGGGTCAGATCAACCATGAATCACAAGTGGTATATCACATCGTGGGGACGGTGAACATGCCCAGTAGAGTTATTTTCATCATTCATTGTTGGTTTACTCAACTGTCTCTGAATCACTACACCCTAACGGATGCTAACGGTCCAAAGAAGATTTTCAACAGCATAACTCTCATGTGCTGAAAAGGCATCGCCGAAATGTGGAACCTATAGAATAATAGATGTGTCGTCCATAAGATTCTCACTTCTATTAGAAACCAGTTTGGCTGACACGCAATACTGCGCGCATGGTTAAACCTATGGTCCTGATCACTGACAATATTCTGTGCTGACCTCTAGCACCTGGCCTAACTCTCATGTTTCGAAAATCGGTCCATTTCCTCAAATTTCTTGAATGAACATTCGCCAAAGTCCGCTGCTTATCACATTCCTAACAACAACATTTGTTGGAAATAGGAGAGCTTAGCGGTTGAAAGAGTTTCGATGGTAACAATATCGAAATCATAGTGAAATGTGCTTACATCCTAGTACTTCCGTTGAGCTGCTTTCACATATCCGTCTGTTGGTGGCTCTTATCATTGCTTACTTGCAAAGTACCTGAGGCTTTTACTTTTCGTTGAAACTGGAGAAATTTGCTACTATATCAATCCCGACTATATCGCTGAAAGATAGAAAAATCTTGGCTCCCTAAGTCTTTGCCCACTGGTTCTTAGGCCACGGTGATCAAATTCAGTCTCAAGCGGAGTAAAGATGCTAACAGATACTAACTCTTGTAAGCCCTTATCAGACACTATATCACATCTCATCTACACCAACGTTCCCTCACACCT